ATGTGGAGGCAGGGGGGCAGCTCCTGCTGTCTGCAGGGATAAATGGAAATGATGCATTTATGATTATGTAAGCTGGGAAAAGAGAGCCTGGGTAAGCACAGCCTGGAGAGGGACCCCCATCCAGCACAGGCCTCGGGAGAAATGGGATCCAGGGAAAGCCAGGAGCAGGTCGTGGTTTCCTGCCTGCTTGTTCCTGGCAGGAAAGGTGGCACTGCCAGGATTCCAGGGACCTTCACTCAAGGATGTTAAATCCCTTATCTGGGACGAGAAAAGGTTTTCCCTGAATTGTGCTGCTCATCATGGACATGTCCAGGAGAGGGAATGCTGAGGGTTCATTGCTCAGTGGGAACGGGAGGGGTGGAACCAGCAGGGGGTGTGTGCCCCAGAACCTTCCAGTGCTTCACANCTTTGGGATTGGTCATTACTAAAAGTGCACCCGGCAATAAGAATAAATGGTATTGGGGAAAAATGATAAATATTGTACACGTAACTTTGGGTATAAAGATAGGTGACCGCCCGGAGGGCAGGGAGTGTGCTCATGGCTGGCTGCTGAGCAGAGCTCTGTTGGGCCGAGAGAACATCTTTTAGATAAACAATTAATAAACATAAAAACCAAAAGAAGAACTGAAGCCTCTTCTCGTCTTTTGAAACGCGGGCTGCCCCAAGGCCACCCCGGGCCTTTCCAGGCCCTTCAAACAGCCACAAAAACCCAACATTTCCCCTCCTTGTTGGTTCTTCTGTAATAAACCACAGTTTACCCCCAGCAAGTGGTCACCTCCTAATTCATCTCTCACCGTGCTGCTCCAGGCTATCCCCCAGCTCAGCCCAAGGCCAGGACGCCGAGGGGGGCTGCCTTCAGATGCACAGGGGCCCTGGCCTTCACCCCTCACAGACAGCCGGATTCCAGGGCCGTGGTCGCCCCCGCACAACCCACCAGAATATTCTACAGCTGGAAAGCAAAGCTGCACTCTCTGCCAGTTCTGCTTGAAATAATGCAAGATTCCCTCCAAATTCAGGTGGCACGGGCTGGAGCTGCCACCTGAATAAACAGGTTTGTCCCAAATAAAGCCCAGCATTGTCCTGCATTCCTAAGCACCAGGCTTGGGAGGAAACAGCAAACTCCAGCTGCCTTTTGGCTTAAATTACTTTGTAACCTCCAAATATAATGAATTTTCCATCGTTACTGGAGTTAAGGACACGGAATTACTTTTAACTGACATATTTTCAGATCTAGCAGTTGCCATGGCAACTATTCTTTTCCCACTGAACAATTAACATGAAAGTAAAATTCATTTCAAGTAAAAACCCTCATTCTGTGCTTTTTAAAAATCTCTCCTTCCCCTCCATGTTTATTCCTTAAGCCATCATTAGGGCCAGTGTAAAACAGTTTGGAGCACAAATACCACGTGTTTAGAACTGCTACAAAATGTTCATTTTTCTAAGGGCAAAAGGAGCTAAAAGCAGAGTGTTTCTATATTTAGCAAAAAATACACTTGGGATTAATAGAGTGATATCCCAGTTCCCTCCCATCCCCACCATGAGAGAAGAAGGGAACATTTCACTTGGAGACTGACATGACTCACAGCAAGAATCCCACCAGGCTGCTGCAACACCCAATCCCAACTGCAAGCAATGAATTATGGAAGGGATCTGCTGGAATTTTCAACAGTGGCCAAGCAAAACCTTCTGTTCCAGTGCATAAATCCCAATTTCTGGCAGAGGCAATGCCAGATTGCTGTGATTGTTTCACAGCAGGGAATGTGCAGATCCCAGGGACACTGACCTGCACAGAGAGCCCGGAGGAGGTGGCTGGGAATTGTGCAGGGGGCTGCAGTTTGGAGTAGGTTGAGTACATGGGGCTCTCATTCATCAGTTTGTTGTAGAGCTCCAGAGCTTCCAGAACCTTCACGTTCAGCTCGGATAACTCGGAATGTTTCCTGTCCAAGACAAAGGGAGAGGGCACTGAGCTGCTGGCACATCCTGCAGATGGGTAAGATGCTTCTCATCTTACATGGGGAGGAAAGACCAGTGCTGCAGGAAATGTGCAAGAAAAATAAACCCCTGAAAGGTAAATGGTCATTTTCTAACCCATTCATATTGAAAAATTGCTGTTGTGTGAGTGGAAGGAGAATCCAAGAGCTGCACAATCACTGCTGGCACCAAACCAGCAACTCCCAGGTGGAATTCCCTGCTCTTTTCACCCTCAAATATCCCCAGCAGTCACAGAACCATGGAATGGTTTGGGATGGAAGGGATCTTACAAGATTTCATTCCAACCTTCTGCCATGGGCACCTCCCAGCGTCCCAAATTTCAGCTGAATCCCAAAATTCCCGAATGGTTTGGGTGGGAAGGAGCTTAAAGCCCATCCAGTGCCACCCTGCCATGGGCAGGGACATCTCCCAGTGCCCCAGGGTGCCCCAGCCTGGCCTTGGGCACTGCCAGGAATCCAGGGGCAATCCCAGCCCAGGCAGGAATTCCCAGTTCCCAATGTCCCACCCATCCCTGCCCTCTGGCACTGGGAGCCATTCCCTGGCTCCTGTCCCTCCATCCCTTGTCCCCAGCCCCTCTCAGCTCTCCTGGAGCCCCTTCAGGCCCTGCCAGGGGCTCTGAGCTCTGCCTGGAGCCTTCCCTTNCCCAAACCCACGGGGTTTGTCCCAGGGCAGGGAATGGGGCCAGCAGGGATCCCCACCCTCCCTCCCTGGCCTTCAGGAAAGTTTCCCGTTTTTGTCAGAGGGAAAGGGGAAGGCAGGCAAGGCCTTGCTGCTCCCAATCCCTTTTCATCTGGAGACCTCATTACCAGCAGCCAAAAATTCAAACAACAGAGGAAAGACACATTCTTATTCCCACTCTAAATTACCTCAGTTGTCAAATTATCCATCAGTCATTACCAAAATATTTAGTTGGGACATTGGGAACTGGGAATTGCTGGCTGGGCTGGGATTGCCAGAGCAGCTGGGGCTGCCCTGGATCCCTGGCAGTGCCCAAGCCAGGCTGGGCAGGGCTGGAGCAGCCTGGGACAATTCCCTGATGGAACTGGAGGAGCTTTAAAGTCCATTCCAACCCAAACCAGTCTGGGGTTCTGGCATTCTTTTTATCCCACTTGACTATCAGCCAAATCAGCCAAAACCCCTTTTAACAGCAGATCTTTTTAACACTGTCAGTGGCTCAAGAATTTTTAGATTTTATTTTCCTAGAGCTCTGCTTGATTATTTTTTAAAGCCAATTTGGAAGATTATTCACATCAGGCTTCCCCTCCTAACCCTGAAACCAACAGAAAGGAATTCAGGAATTCTCTTTTTTCCAGCTCTGTGGGTCCCCCAGAACCCAAGGGGTTTAGGATAAAAAGCTGTTTCAGTTCCTTTGTAAAGGTATTTTTTCATTCTTTCCTATTAAATATTGAAGGAGAACAGCACAAGCATCATGCATTCATACCCTATATATCTATGTACATATATCTCTCTATATATATCTATATATATATATATATAGATACTTATACATATGTATTTATAATCTTTTTAATATATATATATATTTACATGTTTGCAAAGGCATTTTTTAATTATTTGCTACTAAATATTGAAGGGGGACAGCAAGAGCATCATGCATTTGTACCCTATATATTGATGTATATATATCTATGTGTATATATATATATACACATAGATATTTACACACTATATATATATTTATAACCTTTTATATAAATATATATACACATGTTTGTAAAGGTATTTTTTAATTATTTCCTAATAAATATTGAAGGGTACAGCAAGACCATCATGCATTCATATCCTATATATCTATGTATATATACATCTATATATATATCTCAATATCTGTATATATAGATATATATTTACACATATATATATTTATAACATTTTAAAATAGATAGTTACATGTTTGTAAAAGTATTTTTTAATTCTTTCCTATTAGATACTGAAGGGGACAGCAAGAGCATTGTGCATTCATACCCTATATGTATATGTATATATATATATATATATATATATATATATATACATATTTACTCCCATATATATTTTTTTACATGTTTGCAAAGGTATTTTTTCATTCTCATCTATTAAATATTGAAGGGGGACAGCAAGAGTCTTGTGTATCCATATATATTATTATATAATATATTATATTATATCCTGTATATATTTTTAAAATATATTTATATGCTTTTATATGTATATATTTACATGTTTGTAAAGGTATTTCTTGCCTATTAAATATTGAAGGGGGACATCAAGAGCATTGTGTATTCATACCCTATATATACATATTTACATTTATATTTATATTTTATATATTAAATATTTAAATATTAATATAATATTTAAATATATTAATATTATATATACTTAGTATATATATATTTATATATATACTAATATACAAATACATTTTTATATTTATATATATGACTATTTATATATTTCTATTTATATTAAACATTTTTAATCGCTGTATTTCCTGCCTGTGCACGTATTTTGTCATTGTCACCTCTCCAGCCTCCCCCATTCACATCCTGCTCCCATTCTGCTGCTCTGAGCACGGAGATGCTCGCTGGGATCACACAGCTCCAGCAAAGGGAATTCATTTTATAGGTCAGGCTGCACAGAGCCACGTAAACAAACGCCCACCGCCGCCACAGCCGCACGGATCCCCCCCAAACCCCCCAGATTTGGGGTGAGGAGCAGCCGGATCCCGTTTTCTCTGCATGTTGCGTTGCTCTCTGTTAACGCCCGGCTTTGCCGGGTGGCTCCGGGCTNTCTCCTGGGTGTGTTTGTGAACAAACATTTCTCATCCCACAGACTCTCAGTGCAAGCAGGGGCAGTGCCTGGGAGCTCTCAGAAAAGATGCACAGATAAAAACAAGAAAATCATCTTGATCTCAGGAAATGACCCCTGAGAGAGGCCACAGAGTCCCACAAGCCCAGGCCACCCCCACCAACCCCTGCAGCACAAAGAACACACAAGAGCACGTGGAAGGTTTCAATAATCTGATTTTTACCATTATTTCTGGAGCCAATTGGAGAGACAAAGCGTGGCTGACATCAGGTGACAGAGCACAAGCCCTCAGAGCACTCTGGGGTGACAAACTGAACAGACACAACAGGTCCCCAGCTGACACCAAAGGAAATGGATCTCACAGTGACACTTAACACCCATGAAACAAATACACCACGTGGAAAGTCTCCTTAGAAAGGTTCCTATGTTAAGGGTTTGTATGAAAAAGCAGGAGTTCTCCACCCTGAATTCCTGATAGAAAACAGCAGGTAGAAACCTAAGGTAGAAATCTGGAGTTAGAGAAATCCTTTGGCAGCATGTTCAGTTACAATCAGGCCTTAAAAATAAATATGATCATGTCTAGAAGTATGAAGAGAAACACCAACCCCCTCTAAATACACTGGTTTAATAATAATTAAATTATTTTACACTATCTACAAGTTGCATATCACAGAGTTAGGAGTAGAAGAGGTGACAGAAGGACAAATCCTGCTTTTATAAAAGTTCAGGCATGTGTGGAGCTGTGTAGAAAATCTCAGACAAATGAGTATATACATTATTTATACTTAACAATTAACATCATCAAATCACATCTGGCTGGCTCAATTGAAGATTTCTCTTGGCCCAAAGCTCAGAATCCAAAAAAACCACGAATTTAAATTTCCTAACAAACATTGATAGCAACGTGAGCAAGGTTTAGTTCTACCCCAAACCAACTTGGAACAAAGTAAACTCTGACAAATAAAAGCTCCAAACAATAAGAATTTGGAACAGCAGCATTGAAATCCATTCATTTCCTCAGAAGACACAAGGAACAAGTTACCAGAACACTTCAGTATTGCCACGTGTGTTATTTGTACTGAGCTACTTCCAGGGCAAGGATCAAGACAAATTAATGTCCAAAGGAAAGACAAAATCCTCCTTCCAATTGCACACATTTCAATAAAAAGTGATTCGAAGAGCACTTTTTGCATGAGCACGAGGCTGCAAATGTAAGATAGCAAATAATTAAATAAAAGGAGGTGCTGAGTGAAGGGTGGGTTGGGTTTGGTCACTCAGCAGCCTGGGAGTTCCAGTCTGGGATGAAGTTTAGACATCAAAAATGTTTATTGAGACATCTGGGAGCTTCCTGCATTTAATGGGGATCTTTTTATCAGTCATTTGCTTCCATTATTTCCCCAAACCACGGATTATCCCTCAGCAGAGGTGGTTAAAAGCAGGATAAATGTGCCCATGCTCCAGTGAGGAGCTAAACAGGAGGATGAAGTGATTTTGTTGTTCTGCAGCTGAAACAAGAAAAAGAAGGAATTCCCACATTCCCAAAGGATAATCCAGCTCGTGTGCTCCCTTGGACCAACCCCACCCTTCAAAAAGTGCATCAGGGAAGGAATTCTTGGATTCCTTTTCTGCCTGGCTCCGAGGCAATGCCTCCTGCAGGGAAAGGCCCAATGGCACCCCAGCACATGGATGGCCTCAAACCCCCTTCCCCAGAGCTGCTCTGGGCTCAGGGCTGCCTCACACACGCCCACAGGGCACAGAGAGCAAATCCAGGGAGGCAGAAGCCCCTGGTGCCATCAGGAGGGCTCCTGTTCCCCCTGCAAAGGGAGCAGACCCTCAGAGGCCTCAGCAGCCTCAAACCCTCTCCAGCCCCTCCTTTCCCACCAGCAATGCCAATGCTCCTTCACTCCTACACCCAGCCAGAAAGGAAAACTGAAGAGAGATGCTGTGAGTTCCTGGAGCATCCCCGGCCTGCCCTTGCCAAGGAGCCTCGTGCTGGCAGTGCCACCTCTGCCAACACACCGGGCACTTGGAGGAAAACTTCTGTTCCTCAAGCAAAAACACAGCAATCCTCTGTGATTTCCAAACCACTGTTAAACCCCTCCTTCTCTCCTGTTTCCACAGGGATGTGGTTCTGAGGGCAGAGTTTCCTCCTGCAGCTGGAGCCAGGGCCCCTCGGATTGTGCGTGTCCTTCAGGAAGGGGACTCCGGAGTGCAGAGGGTCCCTAAAGCCACTGGGACACAAGGATTACAGAAGACACCAGAGGAGGCAAAGCAACAGCATCTCAGCATCCTCAAGCTTCCAGAAACACATTGCAAAGAGAATTATTTTGGGCCAATCTTTCAAAGATTCACAAGTGACGTTTCCTGAAAGCGCAGGGAAAGAGAGAAAAAAAAAAAAAAGGGACTCGGAGGAACGGGGAATTATTTTAAACCATCCCCTAATCTAGTTCAGGATGCAAAAATGCAAATAACCATCAGAGCTGGTGCCTATTTTTACTCTGCACCAGCCTAACGCAGCGAGCTGGGCTGTTGGAGAGGAAGATGGACTTGGATATCCACGGCAGGGACTCCCAAAGGCCGCCGAGCTCGGAGCTCCTCGGTGCCAGCTGTTCACAGCAGGGGCTGCTGATGGAAACCGGGCTGCTGCTGCTGGAGCAGGGAGG